CCACCCCCACCCACCCCCACGCCCCTTCGTGGAGAGGGTTTACATTTCTTAGGACCTCGGGTGCTTTCATTAGGAAATACATTCCTTTACCCCGGGGTCATCACTTCTGGTTAATTTCATTCATTTTTCTTATATTTATAATTCAAACAAGTTCCTGAGATGCAACCCCCTTCCCCTTTCCAGCTAGGATCCCTCCTCCCTCCCCCGTTGGGAAGAGGGTTAAATGTCTTTTAATTTTATCGGAAAATAGCTATGTTCTTGATTTTGTGTGTATTTTTAGTATTTCTCGCAAGGTGCTTTATTAAAGACGTGCATTTCTTTACCCCGGGGTTGTCTTTCCCATTCCCCCCTTGGGCAAACAATCTAAGTCTTACTTGTAAATTTCAAACATTTTTCATGGGTACCAGGTAATAATTCAAACAATACCTGTGATGCTCAATCCCCCCACCCCAGGTCATCCAATCACCCCATGTATGTCAATTTCCTACAACTCTCAAATCCAATTGTAAAGTTCATCCCTCCAACTCCCTGGGCATCCAATCCCTCCTTCAGGGAGGGGGTTAAGTTAACTATAATTGGTTGGGATAGGGAAATAGCTATAGGTATGTTTGGGAATATTTTGCTAATTATTACAGGGAAATAGTTTAATTCACACATGGATGGAATAATTATTTTATGATTGCAGTTTTAATGTTGATGAAATTGACTCGCCCCCGGGTCTGAGGGGCGGGGCCAAAAGGGTAAATATTGCTAAAGTTTCAAGTTTTAGCATCTTAAGACCAATAAATGCTTTAATCAAATACTCTTTGTTTATGTAAAATTCCTGTGATGGTATATTGAGTTCGTTTTAAAATTCTATATGGTCTTTCATTGAACATTTTGTTTGAAAACAAGTTTTCTTTTATTTATTTTTTGTTCTTTTTTAACGTGTTTTACATTATACAATTTACTTAACCGTGCATTAGTTATATCTATTTTTGTGTGTGCCGATGTGTAATATGTAAATGTATGTGTCTGTCCTATCCCGACCTGCGTCATCAATCTAAATGTCATTGTTTTAACACCCAGTTTCCTCATTTTACTTCACTCTATTATTTTGTCTTCAAAACTTATCTTCAAAAATGTAAATATTATTCTTTCAAGTTAATGTCAATGTTAATAAGTGTTAATTTCTTTCCAATTTTCTAGCAAAAAGTATTTGCATTATAGAAGAACCACCTATGCACCGGTTATAAACAATTTTAATGGAACATAATCACTTAAGTAAGGTTCAAGATTGAACCTGTTGAAGATTGGCATCTGATAAGTCACCGGAGACCCAAACAGTATACAACCCCCTGCAGGTTGAGCCCAAACAGTATACAACCCCTGAAGATTGAGCCCAAACAGTATACAACCCCCTGAAGATTGAGCCCAAACAGTATACAACCACCTGAAGATTGAGCCCAAACAGTAAACAACCACCTGAAGATTGAGACCAAACAGCACCAATAGGTCTTTCTAGGTAAGGTCTTGGTCTAAAACAGCCCAGCTGAGTGTATGTCATCGATATTTTTTGATCACTAACTCGCGGATAACTTTTATAGTTAGTTTGTATGTATGTGTATGTCCTCTCCCCGCCCCATCATCAAGTATGGAAAGTTAATGCGCCAGATCTAAGTTCAAATAAGGTTACTTCCAAACCTAACTGAGCACTCTTGCAATCAAACTAATGGACAATGTTGGTCTTTTGATCCCGTCTTTCAAACTGTGTTCTTCGCTTTTATTGCAAAGATCTTGATCAGGAAAATGTCTGCTTTTCTTTTATTAATATTCCTTCTCAAAACATGTGGGCATGTCAAGTCGCACCAAATGCAGACTCGATCATGCCATACTACCACATGTGGCAAGAATGATTGTATTTGATGATGCAGGGTTTCCTTACTCTGAAGATTTGTGAGACAGGGGTTGAATGTTGGGCGAATCGACTTTATTCCCTTTTCTACCACAGAAGATCTATTTAATTACAATACAATGCTTTATATTTGACAGTACTATTTTCATCCAGACTAAGGTAATACAATATATTCAGTGCATCAGTTGTTTTCCTTTTTTTGTCAATGTATAATATGTAAATGTATGTCATATCCCTACCTCCCATCATCAATTCAAAAGAAATGATTTTCAAACCCAAGTTTAATTAAAATTTTAGAAGAATGAATAAAGAACTTATAAATGAATCAAATTTAAATAACTTCAATCGAACATTGTCAATTAACGAATGCTCTAACCTGTTCCTTGCCAACCACATTCCAATATCCCTTTGAATTGACCATTCACACAGGGAAAACTATAGCTTACATTCTTGAGATTAACACTTCCTAGACTGAATGTAGTTGTAGGTTGCTACAGTGCCTGAAGACGGAGGCAGACGACCTCAACCTGAGGATGGAGCCCGGACCACACCCGTGGGTTCTTCTTGGTAAGGTGTTGGTCCAAAAGGGAGACCAGCTGAATGTTTGTATTTTATCGCAATTTGTATTACTAACACGCTGACAAGTTGTTTTTTTGTCAATGTGAAACATGTAAAAAACGTATGTATGCCCTATCCCCGCCCCCATCACCAATTCAAATGTAATTGTATCCTCACTCATTTTACTCTGTATTCACTGTATAAATTTCCGTGTTCAAAACCCATCTTCATTATTGTTCATGTTATATAAATGGTAATTTATTGAAAATTTAATTTTAACTTTTGTCAATTTATGTATATATAAATGTATCAATTGTAAACACCTTTAAACTTTTAACAAAAATAAATAAATAAAAAATTGTAATTATTAATGACTTTTTCCAATATAAACAAACGAATCGAATGTAAATAACTTGAATGCAACATTGTAAAATAACGGAAGCTCAAACCCATTAACGCCGGCCCTTTCTATACACCTTTGAACTAATCATTCACACGGGGAAACTACAGCTTACATTCTTTTGATTAACACCTCCTAGACTGAATGTAGTTGTAGGTTGCTACAGTGCCTGAAGACGGAAGAAGACGACCACAACCTGAGGATGGAGCCCGGACCACACCCGTGGGTTTTTCTTGGTAAGGTCTCGGTCCGAAAGGGAGACCAGCTGAAGGTATACATTTTACCGCTATTGTTATTACTAACCCGCTGATAAGTTTGTTGTGTTTTGTCAATGTACAATATGTAAAACGTATGTATGTCCTATCCCTGCCCCCATCACCTATTCACATGTTATTGTTTCAACACCCATTTTACCTCGTTAAAATTCACTAATTTTTCGTGTTCAAAACCCATCTTCATTATTCCGTCTTTGCGTATTGCAGAGTTATCTTCTCTGGGGAGCAGGTATTGATTGTTACGTCATTGGTTTGTGTGAGAAAATTACGTCGTTTTCTCAAAAATTGATGACTTTATTCTCACAAACAAGTGACGTAACAATCAATACCTGCTCCAAAGAGAAGATAACTCTGCAATACGCAAAGACGGAATTGTTAATGTTTAGTTTATGTTAAAATAAATGCTACTTTATTTGAAACTCAAAAAATAAATGTTTATTGAAAATTTTAATTTTCACTTTTTTTTATATATATATATTAATAAATATATTAAGTGTTAACAACTTTAAACTTTGAAATAAAAAAAGAGAAAAATCTGTAAAATTAATAGGACTTTTTCCAATATAAATAAATGAAACAATTGTAAATAACTTCAATGCAACATTGTAAAATAACGGAAGCTCAAACCCATTAACGCCGGCCCTTTATATACACCTTTGAACTAATCATTCACACGGGGAAAACTTTAGTTTACATTCTTGAGATTAACACCTCCTAGACTGAACGTAGTTGTAGGTTGCTGCAGTGCCTGAAGACGGAGGAAGACGATCACACGCTGAAGATGGAGCCCGGACCACACGTGGGTTTTTCTTGGTAAGGTCTTGTTCAAAAGGGAGACCAGCTGAGTGCAAGTATCGCTATTTTCATTACTAGCCCGCGGATCACTTTGATACTTTTTTTGTGTTAATGTATGATATGTAACTGTTTGTGTATAACTTATCCTTTTCCCATTATCAGCAATGGAAGGTTCATGCGCCAGATCTAAGTCGAAATAAGGTTACCTCCAAACATTGCTAAGCACTTTTGCAGTCGAACTAATTGACAATGTTGGACTTTTGAGAGATTTTAAAACTGTTCTTCTCTTTAATTGCAAAGATCTTTATCAGGAAAATGTCTGCTTTTATTATTATTCCTTCTCAAAACATGTGGGCATGTAAAGTCGCACCAAATGCAGACTTCATCATTCCATACACCCGCATCTGGCAAGAATGATATTGTATCAGATGATGCAGGGTTTCCTTGCTCTGAAGATTGCTAGACGAGAGTTGAATGTTGGGGTTTATAATTTGTATGTCAGGAGAGGTAAAGTGTTTGGATAAGCCGAATTAGACTCTTCCTCTGAACATTGCGTTCTTCTTCTACAAAAGAGTTTCTATTATTAAACCCAATAGTGCTTTGTAACTGGCATTACGCGGCATAATGACGAAAAGAATGGATTTGGTTTTTTCCGTGACTGAGGTAATACATATAACCTTTTCCGATATAAATAAATGCATCAACTGTAAATAACTTTGAACTAATCATTCACACGGGGAAAACTATAGCTTACATTCTTAGGAATAACACCTCCTAGACTGAATGAAGTTGTAGGTTGCTACAGTGCCTGAAGGCGGAAGAAGTCGACCACAACCTGAGGATGAAGCCCGGACCACACCTGTGGGTTTTTCTTGGTAAGGTGTTGGTCCAAAAGGGAGAACAGCTGAATGTATATATTTTATCGCAATTTGTATTACTAACCCGCTGACAAGTTGTTTTTTGTCAATGTGAAATATGTAAAAACGTATGTATGTCCTTTCCCTGCCCTCATCACCAATTCAAATGTAATTGTATCCTCATTCATTTTACTTTGTATTCGCTGTTTAACTTTCAGTGTTCAAAACCCATCTTCATTATTGTTCATATTATATAAATGCTAATTTATTGAAAATTTAATTTTAACTTTTGTCAATTTATGTATATATAAATAAATCAAGTGTAAACACCTTTAAACTTTCCAAAAAGAAATGTGAAATTATAATGACCTTTTCCAATATAGATAAATTAATCAAATGTAAATAACTTGAATGCAACATTGCAAAATAACGGAAGCTCAAACCCATTAACGCCGGCCCTTTCTAAACACCTTTGAACTAATCATTCACGCGGGGAAACTACAGCTTACATTCTTGTGATTAACACCTCCTAGACTGAACGTAGTTGTAGGTTGCTACAGTGCCTGAAGACGGAGGCAGACGACCACAACCTGAGGATGGAGCCCGGACCACACCCGTGTTTGTTTTTGGTAAGGTCTTGGTCCAAAAGGGAGACTAGCTGAATGTATATATTTTACCGCTATTGTTATTACTAACCCGCTGATAAGTTGTTTTTTGTCAATGTGCAATATGTAAAACGTAAGTATATCCTATCCCTGCCCCCATCACCTATTCACATGTTATTGTTTCAACACCCATTTTACCTCATTGAAATTCACTGTATAACTTTTTCGTGTTCAAAACCCATCTTCATTATTGCTAATGTTCAAGTTAAAATAAATGCTAGTTTATTTGAAATTCAAAAAATAAATGTTTATTGAAAACTTTTATTTTCACTTTGTTTTAATATACATATATTAATAAATATATTAAGTGTTAACACCTTTAAACTTTAAAAGAAAAGAAAGAGAAAAATTTGTAAAATTAATGACCTTTTCCAATATAAATAAATGAATCAAATGTAAATACCTTGAATGCAACATTATATAAATATCACATTCATGAGAGGGCGATATTGCATATTTTCACCCCAAGGAAGCATTGTTGACAGAGGCGAAGCCGAGGTGAACAATGCTTTCCGAGGGGTGAAAATATGCAATATCGCCCTCTCATGAATGTGATTTTTATTTTATTATACCGAGTGTCATGTTTAGGTGTTTCACCACTAAACCATTTTCAAAGGTCGACAAACGTTCCAGAAAAGTTTTCACAGGGACGAACCGTGCACGTATAACTTTGGCGCATGTGATATTTTTTGGAATAACACCCACCCACTGGGACGAACCGTGCACGCATACGTTTGGCGCATGTGATATTTTTTGGAATGTTACCCAGTCTTTATCTTTATTAAACCAGCAAGTAATATTGAAAATGTTCACATCTTTCTCAACCAGTCAGATTACGAGATTTTAACAGAAGGTATAATTATATAAAATAACGGAAGCTCAAACCAATTAACGCCGGCCCTTTCTATAACCCCTTTGAACTAATCACTCACACAGGGAAAACTATAGCTTACATTCTTTTGATTAACACCTCCTAGACTGAACGTAGTTGTAGGTTGCTACAGTGCCTGAAGACGGAAGAAGACGGCCACACCATGAAGATGGAGCCCGGACCACACCTGTGGGTTTTTCTTGGTAAGGTCTTGGTCCAATAGGGAGAGCAGCTGAGTGCAAGTATCGCTATTTTCATTACTAGCCCGCGGATCACTTTGATACTCTTTCGTGTTAATGTATGATATGTAAATGTTTGTGGATATCTTATCCCTTTTCCATTATTAAGAATGGAAAGTTCATGCGCCAGATCTAAGTCCAAATAAGGTTACTTCCAAACATTGCTAAGCGCTTTTGCAGTCGAACTAATCGACAATGTTGGACTTTTGAGAGATTTTGAAACTGTGTTCTTTTTAATTGCAAAGATCTTTATCAGGAAAATGTTTGCTTTTCTTTTATTAATATTTCTTCTCAAAACATGTGGGCATGTCAAGTCGCACCAAATGCAAACTCGATCATACCATACTACCGCATGTGGTAAGAATAATATTGTATTTGATGATGCAGGATTTCCTTGCTCTGAAGATTTGTGAGACGAGTGTTAAATATTGGGCGAATCGACTTGATAGATCAACAGCGTTTATAATTTGTATGTCAAGAGGGGTAGAGTTTGGATATGTTGAGTTTGGATTTCTTCTGGACATTGCATTTCCGTTTTCTACAAAAGAAATGCAATTTTATTACAATACAATGCTTTATATTTAACTATTGTCTATATATTGCACTATTTTCATTCAGACTAAGGTAATACAATATATTCACCAGTGCATCAGTTGATTTCCTATTTTTGTCAATGTATAATATGTAAATGTATGTCATATCCCTTGTCAATTAACGAATGCCATTAAGCCATTAAGGGCCGTCAACATTTCAATATCCCTTTGAACTAACCATTCACACGGGGAAAACTATAGCTTACATTCTTGTGATTAACACCTCCTAGACTGAATGTAGTTGTAGGTTGCTACAGTGCCTGAAGACGGAGGCAGACGACCTCAACCTGAGGATGGAGCCCGGACCACACCCGAGGGTTTTTCCTGGTAAGGTCTTTGTTCAAAAGGGAGACCAGCTGAAGGTATATATTTTACCGCTATTGTTATTACTAACCAGCTGGTGGTTGGTTTTTTCGTCAATGTGCAATATGTAAAACGTATGTATGTCCTATCCCTGCCCCCATCACCAATTCAAATGTTATTGTTTCAACAACCATTTTACCTCATTGAAATTCACTGTATAACTTTTCGTGTTCAAAACCCATCTTCATTATTGTTAATGTTAATGTTAAAATAAATGCTAGTTTGAAATTCAAAAAATAAATGTTTATTGAAAACGTTAATTTTCACTTTTTTTAGTTGTAGGTTGCTACAGTGCTTGAAGACGGAGGACGACGACCACACCCTGAAGATGGAGCCCGGACCACACACGTGGGTTTTTCTTGGTAAGGTCTTGTTCAAAAGGGAGAGCAGCTGAGTGCAAGTATCGCTATTTTCATTACTAGCCCGCGGATCACTTTGATACTTTTTTGTGTTAATGTATGATATGTAAATGTTTGTGGATATCTTGTCCTTTTCCCAATATCAAGTATGGAAAGTTCATGCGCCAGATCTAAGTCCAAATAAGGTTACTTCCAAACATTGCTAAGCACTTTTGCAGTCGAACTAATTGACAATGAAAGACTTGTGATTAACACCTCCTAGACTGAATGTAGTTGTAGGTTGCTACAGTGCCTGAAGACGGAAGAAGACGACCACAACATGAGGATGGAGACCGGACCACACCCGTGGGTTTTTCTTGGTAAGGTGTTGGTCCAAAAGGGAGATCAGCTGAATGTATATATTTTACCGCTATTTTTATTACTAACCCGCAGATAATTTTTATTTTTTTTGTCTATGTGCAATATGTAAAAACATCACCAGTGACGGAAGACCTCAGAAGATGGAATCAAAATATAAGACGGAACAACCACCAGTTACAGTATAGTAGAGAATCGAACCATAAATATGGCAAAACTCAGCTGCTGGGATTACAACCTACTATTAATTGGAAATAATGGAACGAAAAGTGGTAACTTTAATGAAATGATTGAATAGCCACCGATCAGACTATGGAAGATGCCACAGGATTGATCTACCACCACTGGGGCCACCAAGCAAAGACAATTGAGACGATCACGTATGACAGACGAGAGCAACAAAACACGCGACAACGAATCGGCGGATTCCTCATTCAAATTCACTGCATAACTTTCCGTAATAAACAACAACTTGAAAATTGTAAATGTTCATGTTTAAGTTAATGTTAATAAGTGCTCATTTATTTGAAATGTCAAGAAAACAAGCCAATTCGTGGAATTTATATCCCCCGCTTGCAGGACATATTGTAGGTTAACATTATTGCGGTTAGGTTTAAACATGTGAGCATCTTGCTGTTGAGATATAATGTATAGCTTGAAACTTGGAAGAAGAAAAAAGCCCTATACCTCATTCATTATCCGTAAATATGCACAAATCACATCGGTTGGCAAACCTAGCATGAGTTGGATGTGCATAAGGAACTTGGTTGAAACATCTTAACAATATCTACAGCAATTATCACACGAAAACCAAAGAGTGACCTTGATGGGGTGAAAGACAGAGGAACACAAACATTGTTATCAAGTTTGAAGGAATTTGGTTAATATTTGTTAGAGTTTATGAACAGAAACGGCACATAATGGCGTTTTTCGCTATTCAAGAGGCCATTACTCCGCCAAATAAAGTCATCGTACTTGGCCAGGCCCTTAAGGTATTTAACCCTGTGACCAAGTTTAAAGGAAATCGAATAACATTTGTTGTAGTTATTGCACGGTAACGAAGCGCGGTAGATAATGACGTTTTTGGTTATTCAAGGTGCCATAACTCCACCCAATGGGGTCTGCTGTAGGTGGCCATCGAACGTGGACGAGCCCTTAAAGCATTTAACCGTGTTTGAAGAAAATCGATTGACATTTGTTGTAGTTATTGCACGGAAAAGAAGCGTGACAGACGGACAGACGGACAGACGGACAGACAGACAGACACAAATAGTATCGCTCGTTTCGGTGAGAGTGGGGGATAACAAATGAATATTAACCCTTAAATCCTTTAAGCGCTGCCTTTTTATACCCCTTTGAACTAACCACAACCACGGAGAAAAATATAGCTTACATTCTTGTAATTGATACCTCTTTGACTGTATGTAGTTGTAGGTTGAAGCAGAGCCTGAAGACGGAAGAAGAGGACCACTCTCTCAAGATGGAGCCTGGACCACACCTGTAGGTCTTTTTGCATGGTAAGGTCTCGGTCCAAAAGAGTCCAGTGGACTTCAGTACGATTAACGGAAACATAGTGCGTGAGATTGAAGTTCAAACAAGGTTATTTCCAAACCATACTGAGCAATCTTACAATCAATCTAATAAATTATGTTGGTCTTTTGATCGCGTTTTTTCAAACTGTTCCTCTCTGATTTTGCTTTGTTTGCAGTCCAATACTCCTCTAAATTCATTAGTGTGTGATTTTACTTGATAGGCTTAGATTGAACAATAGCAGAAACGGAGTTGAATGTGGGGCGAATCGACTTGATAGATCGACAGCGCAAATAATTTGATTATCAGGATAAGTATATTGTTTTGATAGTCCCAATTGGTATGGATTTTGTTAACTGTTCTTTCCTACAACAGAATAACTGTTATTACAGACAAAAGTGCTGAATTTAACACTACGCAGCCAGATAACAAAAAGTCTGAAGGTATCGATTTTATATGTATGTGGCGGCGGTAAAGTATCGCCGATTTTCTCAGGTAAGCAAATCATAAAAAAATATCTGAAATCACTTATCTGAATAATGCATTACATATTCCGGGAATAGCAGAGCACGATGGCAGTACATTAGCTGTTGGTACCACATCATCTTACAGTAATCTACAAAAACATTGAAGAACCACCACAATGGATCAAATGCAGACCCACCATAGACAGAAGACCTCAGACGATGTAGCCACGACGAATGAGTCGCCACCGATGAGACACTCCAAATAGGACCCAATGACAGATCATAGAATATAACGAAAGGTTTTGCAAGGCAATCCATAGTCCCCGACCGGTGAAGATTTCTAACTTTTTCAAACAAAAGTTTAGGTCAGAGGTCAAAGTATAAGTCACGGTGATGGGAAAAAACTATGACCGCAAACGTCCTATGGAAACGCCGCATACAGCATACTATAGCACAGCAGAGAAGATTGAACCCAATTCTAGACAAGCTGCAGCTGAACAGACAGCAGACAAAAAAAGGATCGAATCTCGCCCTATTACAGATGACAAACCAGATCGATGCAACCACTGACGTAAGGACGGTCCAGAGCACAAGACCACCCATGACAGATCAAAGAGAAAAGTGTACAACCACCAGTAGCAAGACAATAAATAATGAATTCATAACCTATCACAAACCACAGCTGATGGGATCACAACCCATGATGGATCAGAAATACTGGAACAATAAGTGGTGACCTAAGTGAAATGATTGAACAGACACCTACCAGAAATGTTAATATTCAAGCTTAAGTAAAAGTTGAATTAGTTAATTAATAAAACAAAATTAGCATTATTATTGAAAAATATATTGAACCTTTTTAAATGCCTATTTATATATATAAATTTATCAATATATCAATTGTAAACATCTTTAAAAATCCAACAACAACAACAAAACAATGAAAAGTTGGTAAAATTGCTTGCACATTGTCAATTAATTGAACCTCAACCCTTTATAGGCTGCCCTTTCTGTATACAATATCATAACCTTTTGAACTAATGTAACCTTTCACACGGGGAAGATTATAGCTTCCATTCTTGTAATTTACACCTCTTAGACTGTATATAGTTGTAGGTTTCTGCAGAGCCTGACGACGGAAGAATAGGACCATATCATGAAGATTGGAGCTTGGACCACACCTAAGTCTTCCTTGTTGAAGTCTCGCTCCAAACGTGATCCCAGCGGAATGTATATGTGAGGATTGAACTGCACACAAATAACAGTTCCAAAATGACAATAACGGACTACCAGCCACAACAGGCCACATGGGATGAACACGAAGAAACTCTCGGCAAATAAAAACATGGCTTCGACAGACGAGAGCTTGGTACCACCATTCGCACATAATACACAATGACAGATGTCCATGACCGACCAGACAAGAAGAAATCTCCTTTCATGAATAACCACAGATTACAAGTCTTGCAGAGAATGAGATTTCGTACCAGAGTCCAGTTTTCATGTTGACAGGAGCATCTCCAAACCAAACAGGTATTATTGACATTATATAACTATCGCAGTCCTGAGCTCCCTGATCATGAGTATTTTGATAATTTGATTTAAGTTTACACTCAAAGCAGTTTTAAAGAATCTTATCGTGTTATTAAATACAAAACTACTAGTTTGTAGTTACTCTGATATATCTCTTTATATATCAAGCCCTGATACAGGATCAAGGAAAACTGTTACTAGCAATATACTGGTACAACAGAAATATAACCACGTTCAGTAGCTTTCAAAAAAATCAGAATAAACAATATTTAGTGATTATAATTTCGCTACAGGAGATAAAACGATGTCGAGATGCTGCGAGTCTCGATGCCACTGCAACACCGCAGGCAGAATGTACATCAGTTTAATAGATGAAAAACATGCAACACACCTGATTGATCCAAAACCTGTCATCCTCCAAACTGAGCCACAGACATCGCGTCCAAGTTCAGCAACAAGTTTCCTTATGGTCGGATTGGACTTCGCCAGTGTATGGTAAGGTTAATTGAATCTAACCTCAACATGGCATAGAAAACCATTTCCTTAGATGTTTAACATTAAACATACATATTGCATATTAAAGCACTCCGCTCCTTGATAGATACAATTTATCAGTTTTATCAAAATCTTTCCAGAAATAAAAGTTGTAATCACAAATTTATAAGATTAAAAGTGACCTTGACACTTTGAAACACAAACTCGTAAAAGGCACTCTTACATACAGGACAAACATAAAGTAGGGATGTTGTTTTCATGCTTTGATCCAGGATCTGAAGTCCCAGAGGTAGGACAAGCCCCAAGGGCAATTCCTGATATAAACATATTTTCATTTCCCTTATGCATATTAGGGTTATAAAGTGGAAATCTTCATTTGCATGTAGTAAAGTTGTACATGAACATTTTCCTCTAATTATAAGCATGAATTTATACTTGTTAAAGGTACCTTATACTCAACAGAACCTAACTTAAATGAATTTAAATGAAGATTGAGATTTTGCTTCTTATTTCAATTAATTACTTTCTCCTTATGCATTTTGGTTATGACGGTTATGTGAGCCTAGGCAAAGAATTAAACACTGCATATCTTGTCATCAACTAACGTTTAACAATGATTTTTACAATCCTTCTTATTTTACATTACAGAACATTACAACTTGGTATCAACAGCATTTCTACATGCAAACCGATATGCTGCTGAATTGTGACTTGTGAAGGAGGAATGTTTCAATTGGTATAGGAGGACATTTATTATAACTGTTCAAACAAGACGGCAAAACTTAAGAACATTTGACCCTAAAATTACGAAATTGATATTTTTGCTTTTCGTTTTGTTTTTATAATTATTGTGATTTGTAATCATTTTACATCTGTAAAAGTGCTGTTTTTCAATTTTTCAAAAAAAGTTTATCAAATTCTTGGAATTAAACTGAAATAATGAACTTGTAAGTCTGTAACATGTAGCTCAGGATAACTTGATATTGGTGAAGCTACAGAGTACATTGTAGATTGACAAGTCAAAATCCGAAGCAGTCGTCATCAGATTTTCAAAACATATTTTCTATAGTGTCTATCTTTCCAGAAATTGAATTACTACCGAAATATAAATACATTTTTGTATATGGACACATTCATTAACAAATAGTTATTTAAAGGGGGAGATCACTGTTACAATTTTATCGAGTTATTTTCCTTTTAAAAATTACATGATGTGTAACTTTTTTCAGAGAAAAATGCTAATTTTAAATAGTTTGTAAGTATTTAGACTCTTCCCTATTGTATTTATTTCAAGCTGTTCTATTCAGTATTCATATAATCCAAGTTTTATGCGTCAATGTTCATATTATCCCAGTGTACAAGTCAGTATACATGTAATCCATGTCATGCTTTTCAATACATGGCATCTACAGTGTAAGTTATAATAGCTAGTATTCCTATACAAACTTGGATCTTATGTTTAATTACTTTTGTACAATTTTGATACAAGATGTTTCGTGGTAATAGGCATCGAGATATGGAATATGTTACCATATAAATTATTAAAACTGTGGGCATGATCAGAGGTGAGACAACACTGCCAGCTGGTCAGAGCCTAAGGAAAACCTACCTCCCCCTTCCTAAATGGGAGTTAGGGTTGGGTAGCCTGCTCTCTAGCATATTCTGATCTATCTTTTGTAGTTTTGGGTCTGGTCCTTTACAGAAAGGAATTTTGTTTCGAGTATAAAATCAAAGTACATCGGAAGAAGGCAAAGTATTGCAAAGGCAATCCATAGTCCCCCATCGATAATGATTTCTATATTTAACAAACAGTACACTTATGTCAGGATGTAGCTGCTGTTCGGAAAGTAACCCTATACATACCTCTTGCACTCCGCCATCCCAAGATGTCCTTGTACACCATATCTGGTTACTCCAGGTTGAATAGTATAGATGAAATATCCCGGACAAACTTCTCGGACGGAAGGACGAACGGAGGGACGAACGGAGGGACGAACGGAAGGACGAACGGAGGGACTGCAAACCTATAATCTCCCCACCCGGTTGGGGGACTACAAACAAAATCTGAAATCTGATACAAATGATTTAATAAATTTGGCGGCAGGCCATTTATGCCAAAACCCATGTCTTTTGTTATGGTTTTGTTTTTAGTAAGAGTAGTTCCACCTACAGAAAAGCACCTGTAAACATACTCATGATAGCAAATATTAAAATAATATAAAATGTTCATGACGAAAATGGTTGAAGATGGCAGATATAGCGTTGGAGAATGTATGTAAGTCGTGGTTTTAAGCACATTACGTACAAAATAGCCATACTGCTAGAATAAGTATGTTTACAGGGTCTCGTGAGCAAATTAGGTTCTGCGGAGCATCAAATTCATTAGGAGAAATGAAGATCTGGATCTACATGTAGTTTGTCTACCTTCACTTTTAATTTTGTGTATTGCAGTCAGAATCGGATAGAAGTGATCTTTCTGTATTAACTTGTACACGATTCTTTTCAATTCTACTAATTAATTTATGGAATACACACTTAGCAAAGGGAGGTAATCAAGCATGCAGTGCTGAATCAAGATGGTGATCATGTATACTGAAAACTGAAGACCAGACGTCCCGATAAAGAAGTTTTAAACAGAAATCGCATCGTGATGCATTTAACACGAAAATAAGCTATTAGGTTTGAGTATTTTAAAATAGATATTAACCCTTTCACCCCTGTTTAACTTTAGTAGACTCTTCGGTGCATTGTCCATAATGGTCTGCAGGGGTGAAAGGGTTAACAGAACAAATCGGCAAAACTACAGGGTAAAAACAAGGTCTTTCACATTTAAAAAACTGCAGGTGTCGATAAAGTTATTTACAATTTTCACGATTGTTTTAGCTTGCAAAAGATTAATTAGGAAAACATAGCATTAACAAGTGGTGAAATGTGTCTGGACAATGAAACCGGTCTTATTAGACACCCTGTGTACGTTGGTTGAATGACTCAGTGTGTCATAATACACAGGTTTTATTGATATTTCTTTTATAAACAAGAACTCTGTTGAAATTTGTTTTGGCTCTCTAGCCACCAATAGTATTATGAGAATCGGAACAAAACACAAATGTATCGCTCGACCAAATTACATTTAACAGACTAGGATCCACAGCAGTCAAATATACTTTAATTAAGGTAATATGACTGTGGCACCATTTCTCGGTAGAATTTCTTCAAATTTTGTAGTTATATTGCTTTGAAGTAAAGCAAACGTTCTGCCACCAAAATAATATAGGTTGTCAGAATTTTAAGGATTTTAAATAGAAATGTACGTGGAAATTGTGATACTGTCTCCCTACATTGGATTTTTGATTAGGGATGTACTTCTTATTTCCGTTTATCAATACTTATTCGACCTTAAGTTGAGCTTAGCATCATCATACAAACATTTACCGGAATACATTGTAAAAGGAATTCTCCACAGCATAACCTTCAGGATACAAAAACATGTAAAATATCATTGACACATCGTGAACACGCTTACTGACATGCTTTCTAAAACATATACTAATAGGTAAAACGAAAGGAGTTCATCTCTAGCGGCCACACTGGCAGGGACCTGAGAGTTTGTTACCGCTATATTTGGACCTAAACTAAGGTGTTCAGAGTAATTTTATACTACATGTTTAAGGGGTTTAGATCGACTTTCGGTAAAAATGACGCCCCCAACGATCATCTCAAATATCCCCCAGGGTTTAGACGGGGGGATTTTCCTATTCATAACACACTTCAACGATACAATGACGTCACGTCAACAATCCATCAACGGCACGTCAACCCTGAATTAAGCATGTAACGTTATCATAACATGGTGAATATGATATACAATGGGAGAACAGGATAAGAGAAAAATAATCATTCATCTCCTTGAGGGAGAAATGGGGAATCTCAACCCTCGGTGATGGGAGAGATATTCTATTAGTCTTCTACAATGATAAACATAAATAGGATGTTTTCTGTTATGAATGGGTCACCCAACTTCATGAAAAAGACATATTCAATAAAACCTAGATAATGTTACTCGTTTCATTTGCCACCTCGCTTACCGCCAACATATATTCCAGGGTCCCTTTTCTATAACGAGATTTTACTGTATATCGACTATTGTAAAATATGTACAGCTACATATACACATACGGTGAAGCGTTCTTACTTTATCTATGGGCCTCCATACTTAATGAAAGAAAAATCAAAGTATCTACAGCTACATGTTCATACGATGTGGCGTTTTTACTGTATTCATTGGCATCCATACTTCAAGTACGAAAGACAAAATTATTTACGGCTGCATGTACATACAATGTGGCGTTCTTACTGTATTTATTGCCATCTATACTTCAAGTACGAAAGACAAAATTATATACACGACGTAGCGTTCTTACTGTATTTATGGGCCTCCATACATCGAGAAAGAAAGACAAAATTATATACACGACGTAGCGTTCTTACTGTATTTAAGGCCTCCATACATCGAGAAAGAAAGACAAAGGTATCTCTATGTGTAGCACTTTAAATGCTGGATACCTGACTCAGGTTTTGTATGGTATGTCAAATCCTCACATCCATTCGCAGATCACCGCGTGTATTGTGTCCATTATTAAGTTATCAGCAATCAATTTAATGTGTAATTAATTCTCATTAAAAACCACTGAACCGGCATTGTGAACAGTGGGCTAAACTTGATGTTATCAGTCAGCGAATAATGAAAGACGTTTCCGACTTATAATATTTTCAAATTTTAAATTGTTATACACACATTTATCATTACACATTTGTATAAACATTACTGAAGTATTTGATGTTGCCACACTTACAAATAACGATCAGCGGTGATTTTATATCGCACAAGTGTACGCGATACAATGAGGGAGCCGAGTCAATATTTGAATGTCTTTTGTCTTTTGTAAGAGATTGTAGTATGGGACTCCAGTTGGGGAGATCTTGAGGAAATGTTAGACCATTCGTTATTTCAGTTGGGAAATCTTTCCTTCCCCCATGGATGGTTCACGAGCGATTTCCGTTAGGACCACCCGATCCCTTTACTGAGGGAAGCATGTTTCTTAGGCCTCGATGTTTTGCAAAATGCAGAGCACGTTTGATTAAAAATTGTAAATTAAAATGGACATCTGAATCCGTCAAGGTTTCGGTTATTCTTGAAATAAATAGATAAATAAATGAAATATTTCTTAGTGTTTTTAAATTTAAAAAAAAAGAATTGTTTTGAAAGCATGCTTCTTCATTGTAAGTCTTGTCGTTCGAATGTGAATTCAAAATCGAAAGAAAAGATATATAGACAGTTGTGTTATGATGTGAAACACGATATTTTTGAAATATTATCAGTACAATTCATTATTTTCTTCTTATATGATGTAATTTTTTTAAATATTCAAATTATGAATGTTGTAAAATTTATACCACAAAATTCATAAAGCTTATATAATCATTCGGTTCAGTTATCGCACAGACGAATATTATTTCTTATATAAATATCGATAACAAAATTGATCTAAAATGACCAAATGAGTTATCAAATCAAAGTAACAGCTATGAATTAATGACTATTTCGTGGGTTTTCTCCTGATACGAAGGTTTCAGCCCACATTAAACCCCCAGCGCGCCTACATCCGGCCCAATAAGAGCGATTAATATAGGTTGTAGTAGCTTGTTTCATAACTGTTGTAAAATAAAAATATTTTTTTTCATGTTACTAATTCTTTGAAAATGAATTATAGAATAAATAATTAATGTCTGGCATGTACCCCTTCGTCAACCCCAATAGCGCATATATGTCTACATTTATATATATATACATATGTAAGACAGCCAGGCCTCTGTATGGACGACACTTACTCGCGTGGATCTACCCCCTTAGTAACCTGTCTGGCGATCTACTGTTTATCGACCGAGCAGATTGGGGATAAGATGGAGGCGATGGTTGTCGCAATCTTCAGATAGGACCCTATAGATAGAATAAGAAGAGGTTTTATCATTTAAACAGCAGGACATTTTTCCCATGGAGTTATTATAGGATGGCATAAACACCGAATAAGGATAAAAGTTTACGTTGTGAATGTGTGATTTTAATTTTAATTTCAAAATAAGAGGATTGTATCTTGGATATTTAAACAGAAAGGTAAGTGCACTTTTTTGTACTAATTTACTTTGATAAAGGACATGTAGATAAATGTAGATACTGCGAAATGGCGGGAAAGCGTTATAAGAAAGTGAACAAGCCGAGTTTGGTTCTGATAGAATCTTTTATCAAGAGTATAAGGCAACGCTGTATATGGAATTAAATCAAATTTAATATTGAATACATATTTGTAATGATTTGTTACATTAAATTACGTACATCAACTTAAGTTTACAGCCACATTTATTGATATATATACATTGTACCATTAAAGATAAAATAGAGAACCAATCGGTCAACTGAGCCGTTTCATCTGTATTTTTTATAATACATACCTATTTCTTTTAAAAAAGTTGTTTAATTTGATTGATACAATACATAATTTCATATCAGCTATTATGTTATTGAAATATCCTAAGGAAAGTTACCATTGGGGACAGATGTATTTCAAAGTTCATTAACCAAGACCGTACCAGAGAGACAGAACGTTAACAGATATCGTTAGTTTCGTGATTGACATCGACACGTGAATTACACATTGTCGTCGACATCTATCATGACGTCATCATTGTAAAGTAAGGCGCATACTAACAGCTACACGGGTAATTCAAAAGACTTGAGTCTGGTTCAGATGTTACATGTTTCTTTTCACTTGATGAAATTAACATTAACGCAGAACCATTCACTTTACCTGTCTATACGAACCTGCATGTGCCATACAATTACAAGATAGTACAATATCTGCTGAGCTAACGACACATACTTTCATGTTTCGTTGGGGAGCTAGTTTAGTAACTTGTCTTCAGAACTAACGAAACATACTTTTACGTACTGTTGGGGAGCTAGTTTAGTAACTGGTCTTCAGAACTAACGAAACATACTTTTACGCACTGTTGGGGAGCTAGTTTAGTAACTGGTCTTCAGAACTAACGAAACATACTTTCACGTACCGTTGGGGGGCTAGTATATTAACAGGTCTTCTGAACTGACGTCACATTCTAACAAGATCTAGTGCAGTACAAGAAATTCTGAACTTGCAAGAACTGCTCGAAACGCTTGATAGTAATGGGTCTTTTTGATTGGTTAAAAATCTATTCTTTTATTAACCGGTCCGTTACATTAAAATGTAACACGTACAAGATATATGAAGAGGTAGTTTTGTAGAGGGACCCCTGAACAAACAAAACGACACGACTGCAAAATATCGTTTAGTGATCTAACCTTTACTAAGCGGCCATTTATAAACATCCAGTGAACGCAGTGCTCTGATTCATTATATATAATTATTTAACAACAATAATGAAACAGGCTATTTCAACTTAACTTATATAAATCACTCTTGTTGGCGCACAAGGGATGGGGTCGGGGGTGAGTGGGTGGGGGGTCGGGGGAGAGGGGAGAGTGTTGATGTTGGAAGAAACTGAAGTACCCAGAGAAAACCAATCAGGCCGCACAGGTGACTCCATATCTGTTTTTAGTCCGGTCGGAGAATCGAACCCCGGCTGCCTTGGTGAAAGGCGAGTGCGTTATGCACTGCGTCACCCGATCACCAATACACTCTAAGACGTTTACTCCAATTTTTAGAATTATTTGTTCTAAAAATATCTTTTCCGTTTTTCTGGATATTATTTCACCATCTTATGCATAGACATCTCGTGAGCTAGTATTTTAAGGTATTCCAGAATTACAGAGCTTTAGACTGTCTCGTAAATATATCTAAAACATCTGACACTGTGATAAAAGTTACCTCAAGTGGGCTGGAGATCAACTCGGTAAAGCAAGACTTTTGAAGCATTGAAGAATTATAAAGCAAACGATTGTCTCGTAAATTTATCTAAAAATTGTGACAGTGTCAAAAAACTTACCTCGAGTGGACTGAAGATTAATTCAGTAAAGCAAGAATTTCCACTGTAAGTGGTTTGGTGCATATTTGCACTTGGGCTGGTTGTCAGGTTTCAGTATAGATATGCATTCTTAATCAATGGATGACCCATCCATTATCGACCTTGACTTTAGTGATACAGATTTGTCGTATACATTGCTTGGAAACATTTTGAATATACACTTTATTTATTTAACAACAATTATGAAGTTATTTCAACTTTTATTAATCACTCTTGTTGGCCCGGATAATAGCGCGCGAGGGGTCTTAGTGTGAGAGGAAACCGGAGTAACCGGAGAAAACCCACGTAGTCGGGCAGGTGACCCAAACCTTTTCACGTCCGATCGGGGAATCGAACCCTGGCCGCCTAAGTGAAAGTCAAGTGCGCTATCCACTGCACCACTCGACCAATGTTTGGAAACATTAAATAGGTGTTTGGTGAATATTGTGAATATTGTCACATTTCAAATTTATATTCAGTGTATACGGGTAAAAACTGAAGCATTAAAAGTACACACACATAGTGATCAGGTATATCTTGTGTCTGTGATCACGTACATCTTGTGTCTGAGATCGTTACATCTTTAGACATACATGTATATCACTCAGTGATTCCATTGTAAACTGACGTATGACTGTGCAAAAGCACGTGTCATGGTTAAACAATGTACTTATACAGATACAAAACAAACGCTTTTTTGGTAATATGGTGTAAAGATTTGTCACAAAGGCAACGTCATTTAAATCCGTAACTGACGCGTGTCTCGCGATAAACGATGATCTCGTAATTTAAAATACAGGTTATCGCCTAAACACTTACGTCAGAATGTAAGTGTGACTGATGAACGGTATACACACGCGTTGTATTACAGTACTAAAGTGCAGGTGGTATAGAAAAATACAATTAGTAAAGTAGTGGACATCGTTTATATTGATTAATACGAATATACATTGTATTTAAATAAGTAGTTTAGTGTATACAACATATTGTTATGAAGTAGTTTTATATATACTTCATTAACTGATACAGTTTGCTGTGATCAATTAGTGGATACAGTTTGCTGTGATCAATTAGTGGATACAGTTTATTGTGATCAATTAGTGGATATAGTTTATTGTGATCAATTAGTGGATACAATTTATTGTAATCATTCAATGATACAGTATAGTGTGATTAGTTAACGGATACAGTTAATTGTAATGATTTAGTACAATCTATCGTCTTTAATTAATTGTTAAATTGTAACAGTTTACTGAATATGACATGCATTTGTACTGCTTACTTATAATAAATAGGACCTGTAATTAAATTACATGTAAGTATGTTGAGTTTCTAGAGTCAACGATTCGCGAAACTCTACCGTAAAATAGCTGAGTACACTGTTACGAAACACATATCTGCCTTGTTTGTCTATTTGGTGTGTCATTGGGAAGTTAAATACCTAGTTCCCAGGGCTTAGGAGACACATAAGTGGCCGATAACTCCACCTTATCTTGATTTGACTGTGTGAAGTCTGTGTGTACCTAACAGGGCACCTGACAGATCTAGACACCATGCTTCACAAACTTATCTTTATGTAAATGGTTTTCAATCTCATTTGTTTAAATACAGCATACTGAGATTTATCTTATAAATGTTTATCAATATATTATGTACATGTATTTATATTCTTTATAATGAATTTATTCAATTATATAAAATGTTAATGTTTGTTTATTATAATGTTATATTATATTAAAGTTCATATACAATTTTATTATAATTATTAATAGGATTCATAAACATAAATATGTAGATACGTAATATAGATAATGTCAATGTATACTACTTGAATGTGATTACAAAGGTTTTACATAACTTTATAGTTATTAATATATGTATGTATAAACACTATATAAATAGATGTTTGTGTATGTATAAATACATTTTATTCATAGATGTACGGATTGTATGTTTCTACATATGTAAATTTTAAGCTAATATATAGAATTATATCCTACCTGTAATACAGTATAACCGAAACAAATTGTGTATATTGTTTATAAACAAACTAATTACATATCTTACAAATGGAAGAATGTCTACGGTTCTAATTATACGATTTATAAATTCATAGATGTTGTCAATGGTAGATTATTAATATTTTCAATAAACTTACATATATATATGCCAACTGTAATGATGATAATAATAATTCGAGGTCCTTATATACCACTTTATCACAACCTAGTGTTTAGGTCGTCTCAAAGTGATTCACACATTGTTATCCGTGCTTATAGGGGCCTTTGCAAATAGTCAATTATATCTTTCTCAACTCTGTGGGGAGCATACATCGTCCGATGCTGCCAATTCGCTATTCAGCAATTCAAGCACTACCCAACAACGTACTAATTTACAGCTGGAACATGCGGAGTAAAGTACTTTGTTCAAAGATACAACACAATGCCGTGCCGTGACTCGAACTCGCGACCTTTCGGTCATGAGCCCGGCGTCCTACCACTAGACTACCGTGTCTCCAAATACGTCTGTTATACAAGTAAACACTGTACATACGCACAGTTCAGTGACAAAAGCTGTGTTCATGCTTTGCCCGGCATGACTATATCTTTGATAGATCATTTTCTGAAAAACAAACCATACAATGCAAGACTTTTATGAGAAATGTTAAAGATGAAATAAACGAAATAGAATCTACGAAAGTATTTCGAGTTTTACAAAATTCCATGGGATTATACCGGGATACGAACACTGGATAAGCTTTTTATATAATGTTACAGAAGTTAAAGGGAGGTTACTGTATATACGAAAACCACAGTGTAGTGGGACAGGCATCCTTAAACAGAAACAATAAAAACAATTTTAAAATATTAATAAGATGCCCCCAATGAGAGTCGAACTCACGACCCCTGGTTTACGAGACCAGTGCTCTTTTTCTTTTCTTTTAAAATGTGGTCTAACCACTGAGCTATAGGGGCTATACAGCGCATATACTATTTTCAGATTTAACTATTGCAGGATTCAGAAACGCCCAGTACAATAAGAAAACTTTAGATGTTGTTTAATAATGCATACATTTACACAACTATATAATAAAAATAACAAGTCGTGGTTCTTAAT